TAGTAATGACTTAACATGTTGTGTTCATAATTTTTAAAATCGAATTATTACTGTTGACGATACACTTTGCCGTGAAAACGCCGTGGCGAATTTCTTGCGATTCTATGAATAGCTCTTGGTTTGGTTTCCCTAAGTTAACGATACCTCGCACCTGGGTGGTATGACGCACGTATCGCTCTTTGTACCATGTAAACTTGGAATGTCCAATTTGTTGGTGCTCAACTTAAATGAAAGGTGACCGTTCGCATAATTTATGTTGCATTTATACGATTTGAGAAAATCCTTTGTCAAGAATAGCATCTGATAGAATATTAAAATTGTCCGGCACGATATATAATGTTTTTTTTTTAAATTTATTTGATGTTGTTAAATTCGTTCTTATTTTCCCGATTGTCGAAACTGACCCCGTTGTAACACCTGCTATGTTTATTATACCGTTGGTGTCAATTCGCCTATTCTTATTTATGGAAGACAGTTTAATCAAAGAGATGTCTGCTTGTGTGTCGACTAGGAATGTACACCATTTGTAGGAATCGGTGCATCTTAGCTCTATAAAATCTGCGTAGTTTAAATTTAGACAATATATGGATTTTTTGCTATGTTTAACAATCGCATTTATTCATTTTCCTCCCCCAGTGTTCCCTCCTGAGGGGCTTGCGCGTTTAAAGTGCGGACATTTGAATGCCTGCCATTATTGGTGTTCGAAGTCCGAGAAAATGCGACCCTGCTCGGTTAGTTTTACCATCCCTGGCTTCGTCTGACGTAAGAAGCATATACTTTGCAGCTAACCTAGCTATGTATATACATATTGTTTACTTTGTACTAGGAAGAATTCTTTCAATAAAATCTAAATCAGATATAGTCTTCGGCTTAGTGTTTATTTTTTTGAAAACCGACAAACTTTTTACATTTTGGCATCCCTTGCGGGGAATCCACGGCTTTGGATACTCCGCTGCAAAAGTTATTGGCAGCGTTTGCGCATAAAAAACGAGTTTCGGAATCTGCTCCGCACGCACGTGTGGTGGGACTCCTACAACATAACCTCACTTTAACGTCGTGCTGCTGAAATTAATTTGCAGCAGCGTTCGCAGACATCATTGCCGTACAACGCACTACGGTGGTATTAGACATGGATAGGAAGGTTAAGCAGCTGCAGTCAAACAAGACGGCAATTTTAAATTTCGCAATAAATACCCGCAAAACCGCAAAAGCAAAGCAAACAAAGGGCTTTTTGCAAGCGAGAAAGGAGCTTCTGGGGCAATATTGGGCAAAATTCGTGTGTCTTCATGACCAGGTTGTTAGTGAGTGCACTCCTGAAGAAATGGAGGCAGCTGGCATTGCGACATCTAGTGACTTCGAGGCAGTGGAGTGCGTCTATGCCGAGACCAGGGGCGAACTACACGATCTATTGGACAGCACGAATTCGCCCACTGATACATCGATGTCGCAGTCCTTCGTACCAACACAGGCGGTAAATCAATCACTACCACGCATTCGAATTCCACCATTCGATGGTAACTTCCTACATTGGTTCCCGTTTAAAGATTTGTTCATCTCCATTGTTACGTCTAACGCATCCCTCACAAACACACAGCGCTTGCAATACTTAAAGGATAGCCTTACTGGAGAGGCGAAAAATGCGCTTGATAACGTCACCACGACAGATCCTGGTTGCTTGGGAGCTACTTCAATCCAAGTACGAGAACAAACGGATAATAATCAATGCTCATGTAGCAGCGATTAGCAAACTTCCTTGTGCTCCGAAAGAATCTGCCTCTGCGCTGAGGTCATTACTTGATGGCGTGACGTCGTCTATACGTGCGCTGCAGGATTTGGGCCGGCCAATCGAGCATTGGGATGATTGGCTGGTGTTCACTATTACTCACAAGTTGGATGCCACCACTCGCAAAGCATGGGAGCTCTCCCTAAAGTCGAACGACGATATTCCAACTTTTAAGGAGCTGCAGGGGTTTCTTACCAGTAGAACACAATCCTTGGAAATAGTCCAAAGCTACACCGAGCCGAAGCCCTTCGTAAAGGGGCATACTCCAAAGAAGTTAGGCACCACCTCTGCTGTTTCTGGGTATCATACCACATCTGGGCGCTGTCCCAACTGCTCCGGTAAGCATATTATAATGTTTTGCGAAGCTTTTCGCAATAAATCGCCGCACGAACGGTATGACTACGCACTACAAGCTAAGCTGTGCATAAACTGTTTGCACATCGGCCACCAGCAAGCAGCTTGTTCTTCCGAGCGCCGTTGCAAGACGTGTCAAGCTAAGCACCACACAATGCTGCACGACTACTTTGCTTTCAACGCGACTAGTACGAGCAAACAGGCTGCATCCTCTCATAACGCAGTCACAACAAGGCAAGACCCTAATATGCTGCCTCCGGTACTGATCGGCACAGCCCTGATTCAGGTTAAGTCAAAGTCCGGACACAAGGTCGTTTTACGAGCTTTACTGGACAGCGGGGCAGAAGCAACGTTCATCAGCGAATCCGCAGTCAACTTGTTACACTTGGTGAAGTCTAATGTAAAGATACCTATTAATGGCGCTAACGGTGATAGAGTGGCTACAGCAAAGGGGCTAGTAACGTTTAATCTACGTTCATTGAAATCCGACTTCGAGCTTGCATGCATCGCTCTAGTGCTGCCTCGAGTTGGAAACCGAACCCCGACGGTAGCTATTGCACCGAACGATGTTCAACATTTTAGTGAGTTAGACCTTGCTGATCCCACCTGGAACGTACCGCAACCGATTGATGTCATCTTAAATGCTGCCGATTATGCTGCTCTTCTGTTAAGCGGAATACAGCGTAGCAAAACTAGTCTTTTAATTGGCCAAAGTACACGGTTGGGCTGGGTAATTTTCGGCAGTTCTGCTAATCAATCTTTCGTAACGACACGGGATATGATCGACTGCTATCACACTCAACTCGATCTCGACCGAACGCTTCGCAGCTTCTGGGAGTTGGAAGAGCTTAATTCAACGCCCGCACTAACGCAAGATGATCGATTCGTCGAGAATTACTTCAACCTCACTACGCGGCGAGCTGCAGACGGTCGTTATATTGTGCGGCTACCAGTCAAACCGGATTCTGATCTAACGCAATTAGCCTCTACGCACCTTGATGCGATTGTTCTCCTCGATCATCTTCGTCGACGTTTATCTCGAGATCCGGTCATGCGAGATATGTACGAAGAATTTATCAACGAGTACGCATCATTGCAACATATGGTCAGCATCACTAAAGAAGAAGAATGTTCAACGCCCATCTGTTATCTCTCCCACCATGGCGTCTGGAAAACATCCAGAAGCACAACGAAATTAAGGGTCGTCTTCAACGCTTCAAGACGATGCAACAGTGGTAAGTCTCTTAATGATTGCTTATACTCTGGTCCTAAGTTACAGAACGACCTGACTGCTGTTGTACTAAATTGCCGTCGATACCGAATTGCGCTCACTGGAGATATCGCCAAGATGTACCGTCAGATCTTGGTGGACGAGAGAGATACTGATTGGCAGCGTATTGTTTGGCGACCTAACTCGCATCGAGAGCCAACACATTTCAGATTAAAAACTGTCACTTATGGTACCAGTTGCGCGCCATACCTGGCCATTAAAGTATTGCACACTCTATCTGCTGACGAACGCTGTAACTTTCCTGACGCTGCTCAGATCTTGCTTGATGGGTTCTACGTGGATGATGTTCTAACGGGGGCAGACAATGTCGAGGATGCTTCCAGACGACGTCGAGAACTGCAAGGCCTTCTCCGCGCAGGTGGCTTCGCCCTTCGAAAGTGGAATTCCAACTCACGCGCTGTGCTGAAAACCATTGATCCTGTTGATCTTGAAACTAAATCTTCACGGGAGTTTCAGCTAGAGGGAGAGTACAACAACTTAGGACTCGTCTGGGCTACCAAAGACGATTGCTTGACCTACGCACTAAAGCTTGATTGCACGGTAACCACATTTACAAAGCGACCACTGCTGTCTGACGAGGCTAAGCTGTTCGACCCACTTGGGTTCCTGGCGCCTGTAATTATTCGTGGGAAAATGTTTATTCAAAAATTGTGGTTAACAGGCCTAGATTGGAATGACAATCTGCCGGAAGACTTGCAGACGAAATGGATATCTTTTCGCAACGAGCTTAAGACAGTTCCAGAAGTACGCATATCACGCTGGCTTAATACATCCCAGCAAAATGAAACCTATGAACTCCATACCTTTGCAGATGCATCTACGCACGCATACGCCGCTGTAGTGTACTTAAAGGTTGTCGCTCAATCATCCGTCCACATTCACCTATTGATGTCGAAGACACGAGTGGCACCGTTAAAGAAAGTTACAGTACCACGGCTCGAGCTATGTGCAGCCTTACTTGCTGCTCGTCTGATGAATAAGGTAAGAGATACGCTTAACCTATCCTCTATATCTACTTATATGTGGTCAGACTGTACGACTAAAATATGGTGGATACGATCCGATCCAGGAGCGCTAAAAGAGTTCGTGTCGAATCGTGTTAGCCAGATACAAGAGGTGACTACTGTAAGCGACTGGCGTTATGTTAACACGGCCGACAATCCTGCTGATTTTGCCTCACGAGGACTGACCATGGCGCAGCTTGTAGATCATCACCTATGGTGGCATGGGCCCTCCTGGCTTAGCCAACCAGAAACCAGCTGGCCACAGCCTTTGCTAAAGGCACCAGAAAAGGTCTCCGAATCCAAACCTGTGCAAGCTACAACGGCACGCATCATTCCTTCTGATTGGTTCATCCTGGAAAACTATTCGACGCTTGAAAGACTTTAAGTAATCACTGCTTGATGTTTCCGGTTCATACGGGCCTCGCGAGGTATGGCCCATGACACTGGCATAATGTGTTTGTGGAGCGAGCGCGAGGCTGCCATGAAATTTTGGATCAAGCGCATACAAGCTATCACGTTCAAGAGCGACATCGCAGCTCTCAATGATACTAAAGCAGTCAACAAGAGGAGCAAACTGTTGAAGCTAAATCCCATGTTAGACAAAAATGGGATGTTGTGCGTCGGCGGTCGCTTAAGGAACGCAAATATTCCATTCTCAGAGCGACACCCTGTCATCCTACCAAAGGATAATCATCTCACCATGTTGGTCATTAGACAAGCTCACCAGCGCACCCTTCATGGTGGCACCCAAGCCACACTCCAGTACGTTCATCAGCAGTTTTGGATTATCGACGGACGGCAAGCTGTTAAGCGAATAACGAGTAATTGTGTAAGGTGCTTCCGCTACAAATGTTCGCCTCAGACGCAACTAATGGGCGATCTTCCCTCTGCCCGCTGCAATGCGTCACCGCCGTTCATGCACAGTGGCGTGGATTTTGCGGGCCCCTTCAACATAAGAACAACCAAAGGTCGAGGCCACCGTAGCTTCAAAGGCTACGTGGCACTCTTTGTGTGCTTGGCCACAAGAGCAGTACATCTCGAGCTCGTCAGCGATATGACGATGGAAGCGTTTCTTGCAGCGCTGACACGATACGTATCGGTACGTGGACTTGGCTCTGATTTATATAGTGACCATGGGACAACATTCATTGGAGCCAATGCTCTAATTCAAGAAGAGGTACGTGCGTTCAAAGCTCAGCAACGAGCTGCCACTAGTTACGGCTCTACAATCGGCCTGACATGGCTCTTCATACCCCCCGGTTCTCCAAATTTTGGCGGTATCTGGGAGGCAGGCGTCAAGAGTATGAAACACCACCTTCGGCGGATAATTCATACTACGACCTTAACATTTGAAGAATTTTATACCGTGTTGAAACAGGTGGCGTGTTTGAACTCGCGACCGATTTCTGCACTGTCCGATGACCCTCAGGACTTATCAGCGCTTACACCGGGCCATTTTCTGATCGGAAGAGCATTGACGTCACTCCCAGAACAGTACATCCTTGGCGAAGCGGTTGGCTTATTGAAGCGATGGAAGTTGCTGAAGCAGATGCACCAAAACTTTCGGCATCGTTGGTCCTGCGAGTATTTGCATCAACTTCAAACGCGAAATAAATGGCGCACGCAATAACCAAATATTGTCTGCGGCCAACTCGTTTTAGTACGAGACGAACGGTTGCCACCTAAGTGCTGGATTCTTGGTCGTATAATCGATGCTCACGCTGGAGAAGACGGATTAGTTCGCGTGGTTACTATAAGAACGCAAACCAGTCTTATCAAAAGACCTCTATCAAAGATCTCGGTTCTACCCATCGAGATTGACCCGATGGATTCACAGGAAGGAACCACTCAGGACGCGCTCAAGACGGTGGGCGGCGCACTATAATAATTTCGCCGACAAATCCGACGAAGGTGGGCGGAATGTTCGAAGTCCGACCCTGCTCGGTTAGTTTTATCATCCCTGGCTTCGTCTGACGTAAGAAACATATACTTTGCAGCTAACCTAGCTATGTATATACGTATTGTTTACTTTGTACTGGCAAGAATTCTTTCAATAAAATCTAAATCAGATATAGTCTTCGGCTTAGTGTTTATTTTTTGAAAACCGACAAACTTTTTACAATTGGTATGTCGTGAAGTATTGCTATGGCTGTTGTTGTTCCTGTTGCTCGGAAATATTTGACTTTGTCTTCCGTTAGTGTTATTGAAATTTGTGTTGTTGTTGTGGTTTATCCTATTCCATCGATTACTGTGACCGCGGCTAACACTAAGCCCATAAGTTCCCCTCTGGTTACCACGATATGATCTAGAATTATTAATTGTACGAGTTCGAAAAGCCAATACCGGACGTTCTTGTACTTCGTTGCTTTGTGTAACGATTAATTTCGCAACAACATCTTTTGGTTCATTAAATACCGATGATGCTAGGATCGATTTTACTAAGTTGGATTTGGCGTTAAGTCGACAAACGTTGACCGTTTGCTAAATCCCATTTCATGAGCTTTTCTTTGCGTTATGCCCTCTATAATTACGGTGACCATAAATATGGATTCAAAATGAAGGACAATTTTTCAAAAATATGCCTACATATATTTACGTAGTATAAAAATATCAAAAGAGTATTTATGATTCTAAATTCTTCATACATTTTAAACTTTAAAAATGAATCACGTTTTCTTCATTGATATTAATATTTTTTTACATGAATATTTATAAAAGTATAGTAAAACATATTATAATTACAATAGCTTACACGAAAAGTGAAAATCTTTAAAAGATTATTTTATAGGCAAATTTTGAGTCGTTCAAAACGAAAACAATACCCTTCCTTTTTTTTTTTTTTGTTTTTTTGGTACTTTTCGCAGTTATTTGTCAAAAATCTACGTCATGAATCGACGCAAACGACGAGTTACAAAGTGCCCTTTACAAAAATATATAATTTGTGCAGATTGCGCTCCATAGCATCTACATTTCTAATCCAATTTTCATTATCTTTGGCTCAAAGTTTACTGTTATGATATATCTTCTTTATCGAATTTTTTAAATAATGAAAAAAATAATCAAATGAAACTGCGTATTTGATTGAAAATCTCCCTTTTTTCGCCTGTAGCACTAATAATTTTCATTGAAGTCGCTACAAGTTATATATTTTGGTAAGAGGCACATCAATACCCTTCGAGCTGTAAGTCGCTTAGGTTAATTTGGAGATTTTTTCATGAGATATTGAAGAAAAGCTACGAAAAGTACCAAAAAACACTTTTTTGAAAAAATCCATCCATTGTCCGATAATTTTAAAATAACGAATAAAATGCGGGACAAGTGCAGGACACTTGGAAAAAATCAGTACAGTTTCAGGTTTTTCAGGTTTGAAAAACTACGCAGGACCGACCTTTGAAAAACAGTACGGTCCTGCACAAAACAGAACGGATGGTCACCGTATCTATAATTAAAGACCGTTCAAGAGCCTCGGAAAGCTCTTCTAAACGTTTTGGGAAATCTGCGTAATTGTTGTTGCTTACTGGCTAAATCCCTTTTAGCCAAACAGCTGTATCATGTGTAGGGGCCTTTAGGACTGCTTTTCCGATTCGATACACACATCCCTAGTGACTGCTCTGATTGTTTTGCTTATTAAAAATTATATGTATATCTCTGCGGTTACATTAAATCGTTGAATTTGTGCCCTTTTTTCAATTTATATTTTGAATTAATAATAACGCGAATAAGTGAATTGCGATTTTTGAAAACAAATACATTCGTGAACATAGAAAATACAAGTGTGTTTAAATATTGCTCTCCTGCCGCGGGGTGCGGCTTCGACTCGTCCGTCGCGGAGTCTGGTATCTGCTTCCGCGCCGCGGGGAGCGGCTTCTGCTTACTCGCCGCGGGGTGAGGCTTTTGCTCAGGCGCCGCAAGGAGCGGCTTCTACTTTCGCGCCGGTGCCGGGAACGAGAGTGCGAAGATCGGGCATGTTACGCGAGGTGGCCTGGTCGTAATCACGACGTCTGGCCTGTGTAGCTCGGGTCTGTCGATCACTGGGCCGACCTTACTCGACGTGCAGCATGGTGTGATGGGCGAGACCGCATCTTTGGCAGCTATGCCGCGAGTCACAGCAGCCGGTGATGTGGGACCGGGCCAAACAATTGCGACAGTAGCCATGTGCGCGTACCACGTCGTCGCGTTGCCCGGGATTCATAGCCTTGAAGCCTTTGCAAAACCGCAGTGCGTGCTGGCGATGGCAGATTTGACAGCGGGTGACCTCGGCGTCGGACATGTTAACTGTAAATAGAAAGGGCTTTAGTGTTGGTATATGATGAGTTGAAAGCAAAGTGATTGTATAGGAATAATAAAGGGATTTATTAGTTACGAGGACGGCAAACACACAATTTCACAATCGGACGTGTAAGTACGCCCGACTGCGTGCGGACATCTGCGACCCGGACATAGCCATCGGGTCCGCGATGAATTTTAATGATGCGTCCTAACCGCCATTCGTTCGGGGGTAGCGGCTCGTCCTTGATAACCACCATTTGACCTTTTCCGATCTCCTTCTGCGGATGTTGCCATTTATAGCGCTTGTGGAGCTCCTTAAGATATTCATCCTTCCATCTACGGCTAAACTGATGATGTAAAGCCTTCAGCTTTTCCCAGCGGTTGACCAGTGAGATATTTTCCGCGTCGGGTTCGGGAATCGCCGTGAGTGGAGCGCCTCTCAGAAAGTGACCTGGGGTGAGAGCTAAAATATCATAAGGATCATGTGAGAGGGGAGATAAAGGTCGGGAATTCGGAACTAACTCAATGCGGGTTAGAAGCGTGGAGAACTCTTCTAAATTGAATTTATGGTTGCCAGCTATCTTTTTTAAATGGGTTTTGAAGCTTTTGACAGCTGACTCCCAAAGGCCGCCCATATGGGGGGCACTTGGGGGGATGAATACCCAGTCAACTCCTTGAGGGGAATAATTTGATAGAATGCGAAAGCTGCGCGAAATGCTTCCGTTGTGAGATTAGAGCATAATTCTAGATGCACAGCCTTGGTCGAGAAGCGAACAAAAACCGCGACATAACCTTTGAGAAAGGTTGCCGTTCTGAGCTGAGACGCTTTAATCTGAAATGGACCAGCGAAGTCTACACCAATTGTCGAGAAAGGGGTGGACAAACTGCAGCGTTCTGGGGGAAGCGCAGCCATGATTTGAGACTGAGCCCGCTGTTTATGAAGCGCACAGACTTTGCAGAGGTGGATACATTTCTTAGTATGCGGCTTCAGCCGGAGAATGTAAAACTCTTGGCGGGCCATGCGAAACATTAGCCTTTGTTTTGCATGCAGAAGTAGTTTGTGGAGGCAAGTCAGATAACAGCAACAAAATCGGGACTTTTCGGGCACAATTACGG